TCTATGTTCACAATTTTATCACTATATGTTCATATTGTAAGTTCATAATGTCAGAGCTCTGTGTTCATAATTCCATAATTGTACATTCATAATTCCATAATTGTACATTCATAATTTCATAACTGTACATTCATAATTCTATAACTGTACATTCATAATTCCCTAACTATACATTCATAATTCCATAATGTACATTCATAATTTTCGAAGCTCTATGTTCACAATTTTAGAGCTCTATGTTCATAATTTTATCACTATATGTTCATAATTGTAAGTTCATAATGTCAAAGCTCTGTGTTCATAATTCCATAACTTACATTCATAATTCCATAACTATACATTCATAATTTCATAACTGTACATTCATAATGCCACAAACGAATAACGCCGTTAACGGCGAGACAAAATATATATATATTTTTTTAAACTAGAATGCCGCGTTTTTCCTGAAAGCGACGTCGTTTGGACTCGTGAAAATTAATTTTAAAATGGGTAACTTGCTACATCAAGTAAACAAGTCATTTTGGACCAAATTGCATGTTTTTGTGTTGTTCAATGACTTAATTACATTCTTTTTTAGTTCAATGGCCTAATTGCACTTTGGTGTGCAGTTGGGTGGCCTATTTGACCCTTATTCCAAAAAATAATTCAGAATTACATAACTACACATCCATAATTTCATAACTATACATCCAAAATTACATAACTACACATCCATAATTTCATAACTATAAATCCATAATTGCATAACTACGCATCCATAAATTCATAATTATACATCCAGAATTGCATAACTATACATCCAAAACTTCATAACTATAAAATCCAGAATTGCATAACTACACAATGCATAATTACACATCTATAATTCCATAACTATAAATCCAAAATTGTATACCTACACATCCATAATTTCATAATTAAAAATTCAGAATGAATGAACTAAAAAATAAATTAAACAACATAATGTTGTTGCTGGGAATGTTTTTTTTTTTTTTTTTAAAGTAGGACGCGCGTTTTGATGCAAAACGACGTCGTTTTTGCATCCGTATGCACCATGCATGGTGCATATGAATGCACAGCATAATTTGCCAGGTTGAGCAATCGTTATATCGTGCACCAGTGTGCACAATGCATTGTGCGCCCCGCCCTACCTAATGCATTGTTCATTAAAAAAAAAAACATATGTTTCGAATACACATAAACTCATAACAGAATACACAGAAACTTATAACTAAATACACATAATCTAACAAGATACATAATACACATAAACTCTTAACTGATTACACATAAACTCTATACATAATACACAGAAACTCTTAACTGAATACACAAAAACTCTTAATTGAATACACAGTAACTCTGAACTGAATACATATAAACTTTTAACTGAATACAAAGAAACTCTTAACCGAATACACATAAACTCTTAACTGGATATACAGAAACTCTTTATTGAATACACAGAAACTCTTAACACAATACACATAAACTTTTAACTTAATACACATAATGGGGTTTTGACCGTTTAGACAGTGGAGTGACGTCAGTAATTGAAACGCGCGCGTTTTGTGCCTGGTAATGTGCGCCGTGGTGCACGATATAAATTGTCGTAGGTATATAACGTCAATCATTATTGTGTGGATTGTGGTCCACACAACTTTGTAAATAATAGTCTAAGAACACATAAAGTACATTATTTTTAACTCATAAAAATATATTATTCTAACACATAAAGTACATCTTGACGGTCTTATGTTCTTGAGTTCTACATCTTGTGTTCTTCCTTTGTCTCTACCTCTTTACATTGACAAAAATTTGTGTGAAACCGTCTCACGGCAAGTCTCAAAATGTGAGACTGGGTCAGATCTTTGATTAATGAGGTCAAAAATTTGACTCATTAACCAAAGTGTTGACACATTAATTAAAGATTCGACCCGTCTCATGGATTGAAACCCGTGAGACGGTCTCACACAAATGTTATCCCTTTACATTTTAGTATCTTAGATACATATATATTACTGTGCAATTATCACACGAGAATTGAGCTAACCAAAAGGTCAATTATAACATTACAAATATATTAATGCAAGGGAAATTTGTAATTTATGCCTTTCCATAATAGGTCAATTATCAATGTCACCCCTGAATTATTAGTAGTGTAAATATTCCTCCTCAATTTTCAAAACGGTACATATAGTGCCCTCCCGTAGTGTAAATGTTGTCCATCATTTTTCAAACGGAACATATATTACCCTCTTATACAGTACGAAAGAGACAATATATGTACCGTTTTAAAAATTGAGAGACAACATTTATACTACTAATAATTCAGGAATAACATTGAAAATTGACATATTATGGAGGAGCATAAATTATCAATTTCCCAGTGATAGAGACTACTTAAAAGACAATTACAATGATGAATATAGGCTCTGTTTGACAAACCTAGCTGAAAAGCTATAAGCTAGGAGCTGAAAGCTGAAAAGGAGCTGAAAGCTGAAAAGCTATAAGCTCGGAGCTGAAAACTGAAGAGCTGTTAAGCTAGTTGTTATGATTGAAAGTGTTTGGTAAAATTAGCTTTTTGATAAGCTGATAGATATAAAAAGACTAAAAAGGACATCTTCATAAAATTTAAATTAGTTTGTTTACATATTAAAATTTAACAATTTGAAATAAAACTATTAGAATAATCATGATCTAGCATCTCATAATGAAGTATCAATATTGTTGCAAATCTCCTAATAATAATAATAATAATAATAATAATAATAATAATAATAATAATAATAATAATAATAATAATAATAATAATAATAATAATAATAATAATAATCTCTTCAAAAATAATAATAATAATAATATTTGCGGTGAAAGTTGGGAATAAAGGAGAAGATAAAGGGTTTTAATTGGGAATGGGTAAATTATGTCATTTCTTTAAAATAATAAGGATAAAGATGGAACAAAAGTTAGGAAGCTAGGAGCTTATTTTGAAACGCTACCTAAGATAACGTTCCAAAATAAGCTCTTATTTTAAGCTAGGAACTTATTTTGGAAAGAGTTAATTCCATCAAAGGTCCTCCGACTATCATGATTTTCCGCATTTGGTCCTCGTATTTTAATTTGGACGAATTAAACCCTTGAGTATTAAAATTTTTCCACCAAAGGTCCTTCTGTTATCTCAAGGTTAATTTGACGTTAACTTAAAAGGGTATCATGGTCTTTTCATACGTCAATAGCTTCTTCCTCTCCGTTTCTCCTCTTCAATTCCACAAATGGTCCTTCCGTTTCTCCTCTTCAATTCCACAAATGGTCCTTCAACACATTCCTGACTCACTTTACATATTCATCTCCTTCTTCCCTTGCCATCTCGCTTCAATTCCACAAATGGTCCTTCAACATTTTTCTTTGTCTCACTCTGAACTCCGAAGCCTAGCGGCAACCCCACAGTAAGCTGCTTAATTGCATCTTTGTTCTTGCATGGCATTTAATGAGGTTTATCCATCAGGTTTTGAGATATATTGGGATAGTGGACGCGACCAACCAAAGAGGGAGTGTAGAACTACAGAGATACAAAAAAGACCACCCATTTGCTCAACTCTCAGGATCTGATAACATCATTGCTCAACTCTAGCCTTTTTTAATCTTTAGGTTGAGAAGAAGCAGTATAGGAATGTTTTGCAGGATTTCATTTAGAAAAATTTCACAGTGAGCAATGGAAGCACAAGTCTATTGCAAAGCTGGAGAATTTGAGCACAGTAAATCAGTTTATGAAGATGAAATTAAAAAGAAGAAAGGAAACTGCAGAATATACCATCATAGCTGATGTTATCAAAACTCTGTTTAAGATGCCTCCGCATGTTGTAGGCGCGTGACAACACTTGCTTTACGAACTCGTTCGGAGTCCCCGGAATAGTACCGTCCATTCGAAGCGCACTCTCCAATTCCTCGTCTCGCCGCCGACTTCTTCTCCGCCGCCTAATTTACAATAAGCTTTCGGTTTCTCCTCCGATCGAGACTATCACTAGTACGCTCGAATGAGCTACACGGAATACCTGAGGAAAAGGATAGGCGTAATTGACGAGCGAGCTTAACCTTGGAAGATACAAATATTCGCCGCTGGTGATGATGGTGCTGGAGAGGCTTCCCGGGAGGGAGAACGAACGACGGCGATACCAACGAGAGAGAATCCATGATCCGAATCTCAGAACAACGATTGCTTTCCTCAACACTCCACACTCAGATCCAATAAATGAAACGAAAGCATAGGAATTCGATACGTAACGAGAAAACGGATTGGAATTGAAGAACGGAGAGGGGGTTGAAAGGTCGAAGAAGGAAGTTCAAACAAATCTTGCCATTCACTCCATCTATATATTTTTCTCTAATTCCAGGTTGGGCCAAATTGAATCTCCTCTATCGCCGGTGGATTTGTCGGCGTTCTCCCATGGCATATAATTTTCCGGTTGAGAATGAATACAAGAAAAAAAAAAAAAAGAGGAAATGGACGGTGAATTATACTCAAAACATGTAACATGACTACTTTACCACTCAAACTAACATCCACTTAACCTTCAATTGACGGAAGGACCAACATTGGAAAGATTTCAAAAGTCAAGTGTCAAAATTGTCCAAATTAAAAATCAGGGATCAATTGTGAAAAATCAACATAGCCGGAGGACTATTGCTGGAATTAACTCTTTTGGAAACATTACCAAACAGAGCTTATAACTTATTAGTAGCTTAAAATAAACTATAAGCTCCTAAATAAGCTCTGCCAAACAGAGCCATAATCTAATCTACCACTTTTCCAAAACCGCTCCCAATAAATTATACCCAATCAATTAAAATTGTTTAATTATAAAGTAATGAACCGTTTTACTTAGTACGTGCTAATTGATTTACCAAACATAGTATAAATCTAAAATTTCCTTAAAATGTACAAAGTTCCTAAATGAATTAATTGTTCTTCCATATATATAAAAGTCCACGAAGCCGACGTCGCATATATTTGCCCTCTCTTTGGGAACGGCTTTTACGGTATTCGGAAAGTCATTCCCAATGCAAATCAAAATCAAAATTAGTTCAACCACCTCTCTCCACCGTCACAACCACCACGCGCCACCACCATCACCGCCACCCACGTCGTTCCCGGCAGCCCCCCGTTTGACTCCGCCTGGTTTCCGAAACGTTTCGTCCTCTGCCTATAAACCCCGTTTGAATGGTAAAAGCTCCTTTCTCGTTATATTCGTAAAAATCCGTTAGTTGTGTCTCCCGAATTAGGGGTTTTGTAGACTCCATCTTCTCGATCAGTCAAATTTACTGTGCGATCGCTTGGCTTGTTACTCGTGTAAGATAAGTTATTAGGGTTTCGTATGATTTTAGTGTAGTGGAGATAGCTAAACAATGAAGCAACAGAAGAGGAAGAAGAGATCGAAAGCGACGAAAAGCGATGGGGTTGGTAAAGGTGCAGGGGATAAGAAAGATGAGCGGAAGGTTCTAGAAACTTTATTGGAAGCTTCTATTTCTGTTCAAGCGGAAGCTAATGAGGACCTGAATAAGGATGCTGAGATCGTTGGAAATCTGGCGGAGAGTGCGGAGGAGCGGAGCACAACATCATCGTGCTGGAATGTAGGTTCGAGCTCTTGTACGAGTACTTCTGAGGTGTCTGTAGAGGATCAATGTTTTCAGGATGGGGTGAGGCAGAAGAGTAAGATGAAAAAGGTTGTTGCTTCTGCTGGGACGGTGTCATCCTTGTTGGGGAAAGACTACATGATGTCGGTTCCTAAGAAGAGTTCATCCAGATTGAAGGGTTGTTCTAATGGTGAATTTTTCAGTAAGGAAGATGCAGAGCAATTCTTATGCTCAATGCTTGGAGATGAGTGCCAGTTGAGCTTAGCTGTAGTTAGTGATGTGTTCTGTAAGTTTTGCATTTTCCCTTTTTCCTTTCAGTTATAGGAATGGAATTGTTTTGTGACTTTGAATTGTCTTCAAATTTTGACAGGTCAGTGTGGATATGATATACATAAGGTAGAGGTTTCTATTTGAGTTTTACTCTTGTTTATTGTTCCTTTTTTCCAAGTTCTTAACTTTTTTATTGGATGTATGTTGTACTAAATCTAATGTGTTTTCAGCAGTGACAAAAATTGATAGCCAGTTATTTTTGCCTGGGATTTTGTCATGAACCATTGCTATTTTTCTTTTGAACAAAATCTTTTTTCCAATTCCATATGTTCACTGGAGTTTGATGTCAGTAATTTTGTTATCCCGTTTCTTAAGCCCTGTGTAAAATTAAGGTTATGAAGTAGGGCTGTTTCTTGTGCTACTGACCCTTGTATTCTGTCCTCAAGTTCGTCTTTATAATGCTTGCATTACTTTCCAGGCTCTAAATATATTGCTTGAACTGTCAGCATCCTCAAATGAGCAACCAAAAGACAATAGAGTAGATGCCCCATTGCATACTGAATTAAATGACAATGTAAGTTTCATTCTTGTATCTTGTTTCTCATGGCTTTCTTTAGTGAGTACTTGTTCCTGTTCTGATAATTAGTTCTTTTAGGTCATTTCTGCAACTTCATGTTTTATATGCATCTTAATATTCTGAATATTGGATATCTCTGTCTTGTATCTATATCTATGGATGCTCATCTAATTACTCAATGATTTTTTTTACCATGTATCTACTTATTTGTCATTTGTTGTTGGATCCTGGTCATAAGCAATTCTATGTTTGGATATCTTCAATTGAAAGGTTACTTATCCAACTTGGAGGTCTAAGCAGTTATGATTTATATATGTGTGTGTATGCATGTGTATCTCCTAATTTAATAGTCAGGTATGCTGTATGCCTTGCATATGCAAGTCTTCCTAAAATTTTGTATTTGGAATAATCAAAGAAAGCCTCCCTACTATTACAATATGTAGATCATCATATTGTTTGGTGTTATTCTTGCAGTTCACTGACAAGGCTTATGATTCTTCTTCTCTTTCATCTGAAAGTGATTTTCCAGACAGTATATGGAATACAGGGAACTCTTACAGGTAACTAGTGTAATTTATCACAATGTTGTTTTTTATTTGCTACAATCATCATGCTATGAAAAATAAAAACAATATGGTTATAGGCCTTAAGTTTAGTTTAAAGGAGGGTTTTTCCATTAGATTGATTGCCAACTATAGACATTGATATTTACTTAATTGTTGACAAAGGTGTCTATGTAGTATTTGGGGTAAATGGGGATAAAGAGAAAGTTTCCTTTATTTACAGCCTGAGAATTCCTGCGCAAGAACTCAAAAGGGTACACTATGTTGTAGAATTTTATTTTGTAGGGCATTTACGAAGGAACTTGACAAAGGGTGTTATGCATACCACTTAGAACCAAATTATGTATGTTTTCCAACAAAATATGCTGTGCATACCCCTAAGATCTATATTTACAAAGGGTGTTATCTCAGTTTTTGTAACAATTATATTGCTCTTTTAGTTGTGTGATGAAGCTGAATTTTTTTTGCAAGGGTAGAAAGTAATGACAGGGTATAAGGTCTAACATGGTACTAAGTAGAAAAGAACCAGAACTCCAGAAGTAGTTATTTAGAATTCTGCTTTTTACTGTCATCTGTTCTAGCACATCTAATAATAGAATGCCATTTCTTTGGTTATTTCGTCTTTCCATCTTTCCTAGTGGGAGTTAATGATAGCACATGCTATTTTATCATTATTTCAGGAATCGGCTAAAATTTAATGCTGGTATTGATGAGCATTCTTCACCAACACCAAAAATTTCAGAGTCACAACTCACAGAGGATGTTTTGAAATCTTTGTTTAATATGCCTACACCCAAGAGTGCTGAACATGAACCAAATACTATGAACTGGAGGAATGTAGTAACTAAAATGGCATCCTTCAGACCAAAACCTGAGTCTTCCCCTGGCAAGAGTGTAGCAGATCTTTATGACCCTGGTATATACTTCTCAAAGTATATTATGGTTTTATTGGGTGCATTTACAATGTATGAATATGAGCTTTCTGAAGGGTCTAGTGACTCAATACTGTTGTGGAAGGCTTTGGTAAAGCTATTAATGGGCTTTTGTCCCTGAGCCCCACCAGAGCAGATATATGGAGGGGAGGGGAAAAAAAAGTTGGGCGGGGGTGGGGAGGTGTTGGGTTGACTGAAAATGCTGGTAAAGGGATCCGGAGCAAAAAGATGTCTAATAGGAATTTGAAGAGCTGTGTTGTTATGGATGGCAATTCTTGTTCATTTAGCATTGGATTTGCTTTGTTGAACATATTTAAGGGGATTGTATGGAGTTTGCTCCTTTTGTTTTTCCCCTCCCTCCCTCCCTCTCATCTCTCCAGCTGTCTCTTTCTGGATTCCCCAATGTATAACCACTTCCAATAAATGTGTGCATTGCACAATCTTTGGGCCTATCCATAAGATTTAACTGCTTTCTGTTATGCTTCTTTACTATTGTAGCTAAGGGAGATGACTACGAGGTATTCAGACAAGCTTCAAAGAGTCATTGGGAATCTATGAAATTCTACTATCAGAAGGTATTGTATTTGTTTGGCTTTTAGATGACAAGCCCATACATAGTTTCTTGAGAATGCATGTACTACTGCAGGCTACATCAGCTTTTACCAATGGCGAAAGGGGGTATGCTGCTTATCTCTCTGAACAGGTATATCCTATGATATTGGGGGTCTGATGTTACAACTTACAAGTTTGTATGTGATTTATCGACCTTTTCTATTATCCATTTATTTTAACAAATTATTGACCTTCATTAAGCACTGTCAGACTATCCCATTGGTTTAGAAGAATTTCTACTTCTTTGTAGTAACTATCTGATTACTAGGTAATGCCTTTCACTTGCTGAAGTGTTTGATGAGATCCAATGTACACCAGAATCTTACTTATGGGTTTGAGTCAGTGTAGCTAACTGGAAAGCATCAATGCCTTGCAAACCTTTTGCATTGATGTACAAATTACTCATTTGTGTTTTATGTGTACCTTTACAATCTAAGGGGAGGGGAGTTGAACTCCCCACACTTGTCAGGAGCTTCTCCTTGGCCAAATAATCCTTGGGTCAACTAAGTCTTTAGAATTAACAAGCAGTCAGACTAATATATACTTGGGTTGTCTCTGTGTTAATCTGTTATACGTTATATTTGCATTGGTTTACTGTTTGTTGACTAGCATATTCCCTTTCAATGGAGCCTGTCACAGGGTAGCTCACAAATCAGAAAGGCTCAAGAAGCTGACAAAAAAGCCAGCCTGGATATATTTGATGCTAGGTGGACAATTATGCAATTAAAATAGGGAGAATTGTTTCCTCTTGCCCTTCTTCGAATTTAGTATCTGGTTTTCCTATTGAATAGCTATATATTTGATTGCAGAAACAAGAGCATAGAAAACGTGATTACTATTGACTTGCATGGACAGCATGTCAAACAAGCAATGGAGTTTTTGAAACTGCACCTGCTATTTGGGGCATATGTACGCTGTAAGCAACTTTGCAATATGTATAGTGTATTCTATGTAGTTATATCACTTCTAAATTGGTCAAGTATGCAGCAAATTCATACATTGCTTTTTGTTTTTGCTCCAGCTGTGCGATCATTTAAGGTTATCACTGGATGTGGGAGCCATGGTGTTGGGAAGTCTAAGCTGAAAACCTCGGTATGAAATATATCCCTTTTCCTAATAATTGGGATGTGAAATAAATCAGCTCTTCCTGTAAATTAACTTCTTCAAGGAACACAAATAAAGTGAATTATTATTGGATACTAATATTCAGTTAATTAACTAAAACAGTATAGTCCCATCTCTTTGCTTTTCCGCTTCGTTGAATGATGAGTAGGATCTGTCGTCCATCTAGGTCCCAGTGACCAATTGTAGTGGTTGCTCTCAAATCTACCCTTCACTCCAATTAAAATTTCGTGTCAATTCCCTTCATTTTCAGTCTGCTGACGTGATTGATTTTGTTATAGTCGCCTCGGGGGAAATTGAGATGCTCTTATTTCATTTGCTTGAAACGTATGCAGGTAATCAATCTATTGGATAAAGAAGGTATTGAATGGAGAGAGGAAAACAGGGGAGCATTGCTCATCAAGCTTCATGGGCAAACGAATTTCAGCTTCGTAGATTCTGACAGCGATAGCGATGACTGAGTATTCACAACCATTTAGGTTTCTTATCAGGGGCAGCTAATATATATTAGTTCCTGACTTCTGTATGATTTATAATAGTTAGCATCTCTAGATTGTAACCCTTGTTTGTAACTCTAGATGCTTGAGTTATGATACTCTGCCCTATGTACAGCTGCTTGACATAGGTTCCCCTGGGAAGCAGAGCGGAGACTCTTGACTTCTTCCCGGTAAAGAGGTATTTTGTAATGATCGTGCCTCATGTTGTATCTTAGGCCGACCACATTAAACACAGATTGATATTTTACTTCATTCGACTTTTGTTCATGCAATATGAGCTTATGACTCGTGGTTTGAGGTGATGGAACAATAAAAGTAAGTTTGTTTGTTTTTTTTTTTTGGCTGTGACTTGGACTATTTTCATACTTGGTCTCCAACTATTATTATTTTTAAAAAGAAATATTTGATTCCATTGATCTTTAAATTTTTGACATCCAACCTAAACCTAATTTCTGGTCATAAGTGAAAAAAGTCAAAAAAAAAAAAAAAAAAAAAAAAAAAAACTCAAAACAAAGATTGAGAGAGTTTTGACACGTAATTTAGTTTGGCCCAATATAATTGTTCTTTTGGTTCCATTAACATATTTAAATAAATCATAGTTTTGCTTTGGATAAACCAACCAACTACGCCTATTTTATTTTATCATAATTTTCCAATTTTCAATATCCAAGTTGCGTATTTCATATTCATCAGGTAGTCAGTTTGTTGTTCATGTGACGATCTGTGGAATCAGATAAGTTCCTTTCTAATTTCTGCGAATTTGTTCCTAAAGCTCGAGAGATAATCAAATGGAAACCATAAAGCTACACCGTATGACAGGAGTGGAGTGGAGTGGAGCATGGAGGACATCACTTCAAAGGCCATAGAAGAACACGTCGGGGAGAACGACGGCAAAGAAGAGGAGTGTGACGCAGAGGCTTGGGAGATGCTGAGTAAGTGTTTCCGAGAGGTCCAGACGGCTCTGGATCAGAACCGAGCTCTGATTCAACAGGTGAACGAGAATCAACAGTCGAAGCTTCCAGATAACCTCGCGATGAACCCCGCTCTGATTCGCGAGATCAACGGAAATATCTCCAGAGTTGTTGGACTCTACTCCGATCTCTCCGTGAATTTCGCCGGCCTCGTTCGCCATCGCAGGGCGGCGACGGCGACTGCGACGATCAACAGAAGCAAAAATACTACCAATGAGAAGAGTGCGGATTCCGATTGGTCAAAATTCAGTAATCTTCGATGACTCTTAAACTTCTATTCAATCTGCTAAGCTTTAATTTAATGCTTATGATAGGTAAATGTAATTATATATATCTTAATTAGGAAGAATCAATTATGATGATAGGTAAATTTATGAACGCAATGCTTAATGCTGTTTTGTGATTTATGTTTATGTTGTCTTAAAGGACTGGTTGCTTGAAAAGCTGTGGGATTGCCATTTTCCTCACTGACATGATTTTGAGGTATATTCATGCTGTTAATCATTTACTCCCTATAATTGCTATGCTCTGTTTCTCTGTTGTCCCTTGTTTGCTCCCAAAAAACCCACTCAAAGGCTCAGACCAACATGATCAATAAAAATCCCATCAAAATATCAAAACAATAGTTAGAAGTCATTCAATCAGTACAAAGAGCTTTGCTAATATGAGCAGCTTAGTTGATTCTTGAGAAATGAATTGCATGTAAGAACATATAATCTTGACAATTCTAATATGGAAGGGGTTCTTTCAGTATGAAAGTTATGACTCTTTGTGATCACTAAATACTAATTCTCTTACCTAATGGGTCAATTGAGTCACCCTAATTTATCTATTCAGTATCTTGTTAAACTAGATATTTTGTGGGTAAGTACAAACAGCTTCCAAACAGAAAAAGTTAAGGTATCATTGGAAATTTAAGAAGTGTTGGCACAATACTTTATTACAAAAGATAGCCATTTCCCTGCTGCCTTGAAATTGAAATAATACAGTGTATGGCTGAAACAATAGCCAATTGTTGATTTTCTTCTGTGGAGTATGCCTAACATGGGGAATTGGTTAGGCGTGCTGGTCATGTGGATTCCCATTTCCCATATCTGATTTCAGATCTTTTCCTGCCATTCACTTATGCCGGTGGTAGAGATTTCAATTGTGTTATGTTGGGATATTTTAAGCCATCCATAAAAATATGATTCTTTATGTCTGCCTAAGAATATTAATCAAACAATGAAAAGAAAGATATGTAAAAACCCGTATAACATAGTAACAAAAACTGTAATTCATAAGATCACAAACTTGATTCATGACTCTATGTGACACAATATGTGAAATTTATCTCTTTCTAAAGTTTTGGAATTGTGACGTACTCATGATGCAACATTATTCAAAGAAAAATAATTAATTGTTAACCATATAAGATTGGACGAAGAATACAAAAGAAAAAAAGAAAAACACAATCTACAACAAATAAACTTTTAATAATGTACTCTGTAATTTATATATTGGAAGCCTGTAGACTCATTAGCCCAGTTCAAACACATCATTCTTCTATTTGTTTTCAAAACATGAGCAAATAGTCATTAAGTTTAAGATTCAAACTTATAATAATAATATAATTTAATATTAACAAACTTAGCAACAATAAATAGTTAGCATTTGCTTTTTAAGCCACACACAGATAGAGATACATATATTTTAGGATACCAGGCACATTGTTTTACAAATATCGTGTTTCATAGTACGTGGAGTATTGCAGTCTTCAAGTGTCCGAAATAGGCAAGGGGGGAAATGGAGGCACAGATTGGGCCATCAAAGCTAACCAATAACCGCCAAGAACAGTAAAACCGATACCAGTGGTCCAGTGCCAAGTTGATCATCACCTATGGGCTCCTCCCCAGTCGTCTTATATGATCATTATGGTCGAGTAACAGCTTCACAAATTCTAGTACTCCACACACACAACATTGAAAAACATTTAAAACATTTTTTCTTTTTTGTGTGTCAGGAATTCTTCACTATTTTCCATAAAGAAACAACTGTTCACCAAATATTCCACGTTACAGTTTGGTCACGCCACGGCTCTTAATTTGTATTGATGACTGTTTTACTTCTCTGTTTCCTTCTCCCAAAAGGTTGAGTCTCCAACCCAAAGACCTCCACACTCCGATCCCATAAAACATTGCCGGAAATTGTAAATTACAGTGACCTGGTGTATACAAAGAATCTGTCTACTTTAAAAAATCTGTCTACTTTAAACATAATTTTTATATTGTCATCCTAAAATTTAAACCTTAATCTCTTCTCTTAAATACTGCCCACTAAACCATTAAGCTAAACTTGTGCGGGTTCCTTCTCTGTTTCCTCGAATTATTATTAGCATCCTAGTTATAGTGTCCACAGTCCGCTAGCTTTTTCGTCTTTTGTTGTTTACTATATTGTCCCACCGTTCAATGATCAACGATTTTAATGTTATTTATGACAGGAGAAATGCAAATCAAATAAGAAGATTATGATACTTTATTGAGTTGATTCTACCTTTTTAGTGGCCCCATCTTAACCTCGCCGCCACACCCCTGCCTAGAATAGTTAAATTTTTTTTTATACATTACATTTTCAACCTCCGTCAAATTAGTTCTAAATCTTCAAATTTTTATCCAAAAGTCATGGAAAGAAATAAGTTGTAATCGTTAAAACAGCTTCTCAATCAATTTTTGTCATTGATCTAAGAGATTCATCTCTACACTTTTACCAATTTTGAGAGTCCAATCTTCAATCTAGAAAGTCCAAGGGCCCCAATGGTCGACCACTAGAACTAGCCCTGTGGGTCATAAAAGATATAATTGAATGAGTAGAGTATAATTTTCGTACAAAAAATATTACTAGTTTAATTTTTGTCAATATATTTTCGGTTGAATTTATTATGAAAAGTTTTTTTTTTTTTTTTTTTTTTTTAAAGGTAGAAAACTGTTATTTGGTGTCTTGGTGAATTAAAATAACTAAAGATATTTTTTTAAAAAAAAATTTATTAAAAATATATCAAGTTGCACAACTTTATGTACTATACGTGTCTGTGTGCATTTCAGAAATATTTAAAGGAGGCCCAAAGCCGCAAGTCCTGAACCACTAAAACCCCTCTCTCGTGCACTCTATTTAGCGCGCTTCATTTCTCATCCTTCTCTCACTCACACACACAGAACGTTAGCCATGTCTGGAAGCGGTGTCGTAACCGTCTACGGAAACGGCGCTATCGCCGAGACGGCGGCCAAGCAATCCCCCTTCTCCGTTAAGGTGGGCCTTGCCCAGATGCTCCGCGGCGGCGTTATCATGGACGTCGTCACCGCCGAGCAGGCGCGCATCGCGGAGGAAGCGGGTGCTTGCGCCGTCATGGCGCTTGAACGCGTTCCTGCCGACATCCGCGCGCAGGGCGGCGTGGCCCGCATGTCTGACCCTCAGTTGATTAAGGAAATCAAGCAGGCTGTTACGATTCCGGTGATGGCGAAGGCGCGGATTGGGCACTTCGTGGAGGCGCAGATTCTGGAGGCGCTAGGGATTGATTATGTGGATGAGTCGGAGGTTTTAACCCTAGCTGATGAAGAGAATCACATCAATAAGCACAATTTCCGTATCCCCTTCGTGTGCGGGTGCCGCAACCTGGGCGAGGCCCTCCGCCGCATCCGCGAGGGCGCCGCCATGATCCGCACTAAGGGCGAGGCCGGCACCGGCAACGTCATCGAGGCCGTCCGCCACGTCCGCTCCGTCATGGGCGACATCCGCGTCCTCCGCAACATGGACGACGACGAGGTCTTCACATTCGCCAAGAAGATTCAGGCCCCCTATGACCTCGTCATGCAGACCAAGCAGCTGGGAAGGCTCCCCGTCGTCCAATTCGCCGCCGGCGGGGTCGCCACTCCCGCTGACGCCGCCCTAATGATGCAACTCGGCTGCGACGGCGTGTTCGTCGGCTCCGGGATCTTCAAGAGCGGCGACCCTGCCAGGAGGGCCCGCGCAATCGTCCAGGCCGTCACTCACTACAGCGACCCAGAAGTTCTGGCTGAAGTTAGCTGCGGCCTCGGCGAGGCTATGGTAGGGATCAATCTCAATGATGCTAAGGTTGAGAGGTACGCAAACCGTTCCGAATAGGAACGGTCTGCAAATGGCTCGCTCTACAATAATATGAATCAATTTAGTTTCTGAATATTTTGATTGAGGTTTCTTGAAAGGAACCTCTGCTTGTGCTTGGCTTAGTAGATGTCACTCAGTTTATTGTCAAATCTGTTGGTCTATATACATTTTAGTACTGGGAATATGTTGTAATGGTGACTTTTGGTTTCCATTAAATGATGTTCTTTGTCTATATTGGTGTTCCCTCTTGTCATCTTGTTATTGCATTATTGTTTATAGTACTTTAACAAGTCAAGGTAGAACATTTGCAGATAATTCAAAAACATATATAATTGTATAAAAATTCCTTAAAAAGTTGTAGGATTTGATATTTTGGTATATGTTGGAACTCACCCTTTGATGAACCAAGTGCATGGAAGCATAAAAAATGAGTATATATATATGTATATGTATATATATATATATATATATATATATATATATATATATATATATATATATATATATATATATATCTTGTGTTCTATAGCTTCATATCAAAAGGGTAATAAGTCTTTTGTTAGTATTTTCTTCCCCCAAATATTGCCTACTGCCTTCTGAACTAGTAAGTTAAGCCTGTGCGGGCTTCTGTTAGTATTTCTTCTTATGAATGATTGTCTCTTAGTTTTGTGACGTATATATGTAACTATAGATTGTAATGTTAGTGGGTGGATGACTGTGTTAGAACATTAGTTACAGGAATGAATCTTGATGGGTTGTGTGGTTCTATGGCTTGATTTTGATACCCTGCAGATTTAATGATTTATACTACAACTGAATATGTTGTAATGGTGACTTTTGGTTTCCATTTAATGATGTTCTTTGTCTATATTGGTATACCCTCTTGTCATCTTGTCATTACTTTACTATTTGTAGTACTTTTGTCATGGCTGAATTTAGGAATGAGATGTGAAATGCTGCAGTCGCAAGTCAAGGTAGAACATTTGCATATTGTCATTAGTGCATTTTGTACCGATTTAATGGGACATGAGTTATCATATCTGGTATAATTTAAAAACATATATAATTGTACCTGGTATAATACCTTAAAAATTTTTAGGATTGGATATTTTGATCTAGGTTAGAACTCAAATTTTCATTTCATTGCCAATTTGTAAGTTGATGTTGTTTCTACCCTTTGAGGAACCAAGTACATGGAAGCATAAAAAAATGAATATATATCTTGTGTTCTATAGTATCGGAAGGGTAATAAGTTTTCCTTGTGACCCTACCTAAACTAGCTTAGGTTGCCTATAGTTGACTGGCTCAAACCAAGAAGGTTGAGATTCGAACTTTGACCTTGTGGTTACAAGTTTTTATCTTTTGTCATTTTAGCTGGGGTTACCCCATTTTCTGTTAGTATTTCTTCCTATGAATGTCTCTCTTAGTTGTGTGATGTATGTATGTAACTATTGTGGTCTGGTTTAGATTGTAATGTTAGTGGGTGGATGACTGTGTTAGAACATTAGTTACAGGAATGAATCTGATGGGTTGTGTGGTTCTATACTTCTATGGCTTGATATTGATACCCTGCAGATTTATACTAGATTTGATGATCATTTATACTAATCTCCGATCAACTGAATCATGCTGTTTTGACATGTGTATTTGTGTAATGTTTTGGTACCAAGTTTAGGCTTGTACTGTTCTCTTAAGATGCATGTTGGATATATTGTAGTGGCTGATGAAGAACATTCTTTTACCTCATTGGCTGATGTTTGTGTCTTCTTTCCAGCATAAACCTTTCCACCTTGAATGGTCAAATATGAGCACTGAACTGCTGTGTCACCATCTTTCTAGGATTGATTTTTTCTTTGAAAGCAAAACAAAGAAGATTCATTAATTAGAACAGTCCAACTCCAATACACTCAGAATAAAAATAGGAGGAGTATCTAGCTACCCCACCCAGCTTGGTAAAGAAATGGCTTTCCTCGCTAAGGCATGGGCAACCCGATTCCTTGACTGCATATCCCCTGTAATCCTACCATAGCTACTTTTCACACTATAACACCCCTGACTGCATATCCCCTGTAATCCTACCATAGCTACTTTTCACACTATAACACCCCTTCCCTCTCCTCATTCCCATAACAGCTTGTCCTCCACTTGCCCATGAGAGAGTGGAAAGCTGAAACTCTATCTCTATTGTCAAATTAGTTATGAATAATATCCATATCCCAGCCCCCATTCTCAACATTCAACAGAGTAGAGACCGTGATATTATGATACTGGGGTTGATGATTCTCAGAAGTGGTTCATTCTTGGACATTTTGTATTCAGACATTTTATGGTTGCACAAGCATTTCACTGTAGTTTTGTAACCAGAAACCACCTCTGTTCCTTGTAGCCTGGTTTCCCCAGCGTTGGGCCTAGAGGAGTAGGCCCAAATTTATCTCCTTGGACAATTAGTTGAATGCTCCAGCCAGGCAAATTATCCTGTGCAACCGTGTGCACCATGCATGGTGTACACTGTTCTATGTTTATAATTACTGAACTATATGTTCATAATTATAAAGCTATATATTCATAATTTTTGAACTCTATATTCACAATTACAGAACTCTATGTTCACAATTTTCGATATTTATATTTCCAATTGTTGAACTATGTATTCACAAATCACAGAACTATATGTTCATAATTTGATAACTATACAGTTTAAAAATTATGAATCTACAGTACAGAAATTGTGAATCTACAGTAAAGATATTATGAATTTACAGTATAGAAATAATGAATCTACTGTATTTAAATTATGAATCTACGGTTTAAAAATTATGAATTGGTCCCGTATGCACCTTGCATGGTGCACACGGTTGCACATCATAACGTTCCCTTGAGTCATAGAGAGTTACCTTCAATATGGTAGAATCTCCTGGACACTTAGTCCTCTCACTTAATGGATAGCTAATTTACTCATTCATTATTTTGTCGGGATGTTGGAGGGATTGAATTTCCCCTTTTGTAGGCAAATAGATGAATGCAGACCAAAGAATATAGATTGATTTGTTATAGCAAGTCTAAAACCTTTGACTTTTCACAACAGAGTATTGTGGACATATATCATATGGCATATGGTGTGAAATAATTTGAATGCAGGCAGGCCTAAGATGATATTGACAGTGATTTCTTTGGTAGCTGAGGAAGAAGAAGAAGAAGAAGGAGAAGCATTCATAAATTTGTGAGTGGAGGAGAATGCAAGATTGCGGAAGGCGTGAAAGTGAGAGTCTGGACCCAAACTTTCTTGGAAACGTTAGGTTTTGATTTTGATTTTGATTTGATAGCTGTTTCTTCACCATCATAAAATTTTCATCAAAACCAAACCTTAAATTCTGGTTGGGTTATCTGACAGAAAGGAACGGGTTTAGGGAGGAGGAATCTGTGGAAACAGCTAAACAGAGGCAACAAATGAGCGACCGGTAATCAGGTATCTGTCGATGCCTTCAACGTTGTCACCACCATTGCAAGTCTCTGTCACACACCACACCACAATCATCTCTCTGCTCTGTCGCTACACGACAAATCTCCGCATCTTCTCCGCTCTCCACGTCGCCGGTGGATCCCCTATTCTCCCGTTCTAAGATCACCACATTTCTTATTTCTACGATGCAGGTAAATCCACGTGCCCCAAGCTTGAGGTGGGAGACAACTTCAGGTCCGTTCATTCTTCTACACGTGGCGCTCACTTACTCGATATATTATTATATTTACGATTTACGATAATTAATTACTTTAATTTTAATGAATTTATGCGTGAACAAAAAAAAATAAAATCGAAATGAAAATAAAAAGGTTGTGGTAGTATACGTATTTGAATACGAACTATTAAATATTTGAGATATAGTAGTTCGAGTAAACAAAATTGAAGGTAAGGAAAGGTGTCCAGGAGTAATGGAATATTTGACTGACCAATAGTTATTATGTTCGGTTAAGACGTTATTATCTATATTCATCTTTAAGTACTAGTCGTTTGGGCTCGGGTCTCAGCTGAGTATTCAGGTTGGGACCAAGCCTAAAGGATTCAAAGTAGAAGCTCATTAAAATAAGAAGAAGCCTAATATCAGGTCAAGTTGGTTAAGTACGCTCATACGCAGTGGGGAAAAGACTCTCAATATGCATGGAGTCGGATCCGACCAAGTGCTCGGCATGTACGAGTTGGTAATTCCGAGATATACTCCCCATCAAGTTGTTTATTACGGAATATTATTTACGGAATGTTTGTTAACATTTAAATTTAAAATGATACTTAAATCTATTTTCTCAAATATATTGTATTATAAAAAAGATTCGGGTATGTTGAGATTATAAAATAGTAAACAATTAAGCTTGCAATAGTCAAAATAGACGTTATAATTGCTTGAATATATCATTCAATGGGTAAATCAATCCAACACAATAGCTCATCAGATACTGACATGCCAATACACTTACAAGATATTATTATAATGGCATAAACAATTTGGATTCAAGTGTCATCCTACCTATCTCGTCAACTTATTACTATTTCTAACGGGAGTTATATGAGACACTTAAGTTTATCAATTCCAGATTTATTATAATTATTACTTTTACAATGGGCATGAGCTCGTTTATATATGGTTTAGTAATAAAATTTATTTTTTTATGGCTATTTTTACGTATTATAAATACAAACTCTTATCTCTATCTTTCATTATGGGGTGCAATGATAAATAATTCAAATGAGATACAGTTATAAACATTATAAAATGTCGTAAATGTTTTAGTAATTGGAAACAAAAATTGAGAGGATAGGGTGAGCCCACCACCATTGAATTTGTATTGCATTTCACATTTGCATTTGAATGTGCATTTCATTTGGGATGGAAGGAGGGAAGTACCGGTACCACTTTGGTAGGCCGACTTTTTGACTCTTTTTTTTTTTTTTTTTTTTTTTTTTTTTTTTTAAATTTAATTTAATTTTATTTTGAATAGAAAAAAATAATTAAATTTTATTTATGGAAAGAATTTCCAACAAATTATTATTATTATTATTTTTCTCTCTCCCGCTTTCCCTCTCATAGATGTATAGTTAAAGAGAGAGAGGGAGAGGAATTGCGTGAACCCATTCTAAGCAATTTGGAGTTTAGCTCCCCTTTTTCCTGTGCGGGAAATCTGGGTTTCATATTCTTCCCTTTTCTCTCTGCTCTGCCCAATTTGAGGTATGCTTTTCATGCTTCATTCTTTCGCTCATCTCATTTTTACTCTATGCAAAACACCCTTTGAATTCTGGGTAAGATACGCATAATATTTTGGTGCTTATATATATATAATATATATATAATATGATCTTCACTTCTTTTTCTTCTTCTAAGTTGTAGTATTGATGAATGATGATATATCTTTGCGGAATCAAGGCTTTCATGCTTTAAAGACTGTAACTTTATCTCTTTTAAGTCCTGATGTTCACTAATTCTTGACTACAAGTTCTTTGTAGTTTTTGTTTTGAACTGGTTGCATTGTAACTGTTATAGGAGGTTATGTAATTTTATAAATTAAACAAAAGCAGTAATCTTTGGTGTGTTTCTTGAAGTTCTATAGCTAAAGTGTATGCTAAGTTTCTCATTTTTCAGGGTTTTTTTTTTTTTTTTTTTTTTTTTTTTTTTGTAGAGAGATTGATAGGATGTGTAGTGGCTCTAGGAGGAAAGTTGTTCCTGATGATCTAGCTATGGAAGGTGGAATTCAAGGGCAAGAGATTTTGCTCGAGTTATCCGCGAATGATGATCTTAGAGGGTTTAGAGCAGCTGTTGAAGAAGAGGGTCTTGATGTGAACATGTCAGGATTGTGGTATGGGAGAAGAATTGGTTCTAAGAAGATGGGGTATGAGGAGAGGACACCCCTTATGGTTGCTTCAATTTTTGGTAGCAAACGGGTGCTGAATTATATTCTGGAGAACGGTTGTGGTGAGATTAACCGAGCTTGTGGCTCTGATGGGGCTACTGCTCTCCACTGTGCGGTTTCTGGTGGCTCTACTGCCTCGCTTGATGTTATCAAGCTCTTGCTTGGTTACTCGGCTGATGAGAATTTGGTGGACGCCAATGGAAACCGGGCTGCTGACTTGATCCCCTTCTGCAGATTCACCTCGCAGAAGAAGATGATGGAGCATGTTCTCAAGGGCGGTGGTGATACTGATGAAGGCTACGGGTTGATTGAAAAGGTTGAAGAGCAACGGGTGGTCTATCCAAATGTCTCGAAAGATGGGAGTGAGAGGAAAGAATACCCCATTGATCCCTCCCTTCCAGACATAAAGAATGGTATTTATGGGACTGATGACTTCAGAATGTACACGTTTAAGGTGAAGCCATGTTCCCGGGCGTACTCTCATGACTGGACCGAGTGCCCCTTTGTTCACCCTGGCGAAAACGCTAGAAGGCGTGACCCAAGGAAGTACCACTATAGTTGCGTGCCTTGCCCAGACTTTCGAAAGGGCACTTGCCAGCGGGGAGATGCTTGTGAATATTCACATGGTATATTCGAGTGCTGGCTTCATCCTGCCCAGTATCGCACACGTATGTGTAAGGACGAATCGCTTTGCAATAGAAGGGTCTGTTTCTTCGCCCACAAACCTGAGGAGCTTCGCCCTTTCTATGCTTCTACAGGCTCAGCTCTGCCTTCCCCTAGATCATACTCTCTCGGGGCTTCATCTTTGGATATTGCATCAATTACCCCACTAGCCCTCGGTTCTCCATCAATAATGCTACCTCCAACATCAACCTCTGGGGCTTCTTCTCCCCGGGGTGGATCACCGAGGCCAAATCAGCCTAACATTACAACTCCAACTTTGCAGTTTCATGGTAGTAGATTGAAAACTGCACTTAACGCCAGGGATATGGATTTAGATTTTGGACTAATTGGACTAGATGACATGTCTGCTCTCTCTTCACCATCGAGCTGGAACAAAATTTCAGCCACCACACCCGCTTTTGGTGCTTCATCTGGTGATCGTAGTGGAGAATTCAGTAGGCATGCTGGACTAACACCCACCAACCTTGACGATATTTTTGGGACATTGGATCCCAATGTGTTGTCTCAGCTGCAATCTCCTAAGGGAATGCAGATTCGGCAGAATATGACTCAAAATTTCCTCTCGAGCTTCCCTGCCAGTCCCTCACCATCCCCAGCTAGAACATCGTCGTTTAGGATGGATCCATCTGATTCAGCCTCATCAGCAGTGTTGAATTCAAGATCTGCTGCATTTGCAAAACGAAGCCACAGTTTTGTTGATCGCAGTGTGGCATCTTCGCCAACCTCTCCTGCAATTGCAATGCCATCAACCCTTTCCGGTTGGGGCTCTCCCGATGGAAAATTAGACTGGGGTATCAAGAAGGAGGAGCTCAGTAAGTTTAGGAAATCGGCTTCGTTTGGCATCAGGAGCAGTGGCAACAATCTTGCAATGGATGGCACCTCGCTTTCAACCACTGCTGTCGAGCCTAATGCTTTGTGGGTTCAATCTTTAGTAAATCATGGCCAATTCAGTATGGAAGATCAGCAGTATTGTCTGAACAACAGAGGAGGTTCAGAGATGCATCCATCATGGGCGGACCAGTTATATATGGACCAGGAGCAGATTGTGGCATAAACATGACATTAACTCCAAAGTCAGAATCTTTCGGGTAATCTTTAACAAGTTCTTTGTCATTTTTTGAATTTTTGCTCAAATTCAACGATGGATACATGAAAATAGAACATAGAGAAAACAAGAAGTTGGGCAGGGTAAAAAAAATCAATCTTTCCCTTCTTCCCCTTTCAATTATGTTGAAACTTGAAATACTTATCATCCCTCCTAGTATACAAATTTGTATTCTATTATAAATGTACCAGATAATAAAAGTGATCATTGAATGCCATTCTTTTCGCTCGTGATTCACTCACTACTGTGTTTTTTAGTACTGTTATTTGTAAGTGCAAGAAAGAAGTGATCATTCATATATGCCTGTATATCTGAGTTTGGGTATAGAAATGCGATTGTGATGTTGAGAAAATGGAAAGCAGGAATGAAATGTGGAGGGTGATACTGATACCCTTTGTGGGTACTCCACACCACTAAAGAAAGAGGAATGAAGAAGGTAAGGTAAGGCTTGGGTTGTGATACCACTTTGTTGTACTCAGTCTTTTTTGTGGCTTTTTGGTAAAGTGGTAATTGCTTTCGGCATATAAAACAGGATGATGTTGTTTGGTTGGTTGGAGGTGTAAGTAAGCACTAAGGTTGGTCAGTAGTTTCAAACTTTGTCTCTTTGATGAATGATGGATGGATGGATCACTGCTTTGCTTTGGTGGCTAAGAGGAAGCTTTCAACTTGTTTTCTTTTTTTTTCTCTCTATTTTAAGACAGATTTGTCAAGAATTGAATTCATGACTTTTAGTACGAGAGTCATGTTTCACCAACTTAATCACCTTTTTCGGTGCAGACCCATGTTAGTTTTGTTGATATAACGAAAAGTTACAGGTTCGCGTCACATCTCAATCAAGAGTGTTGACATAATCATGTTGAACATATATTATAAAAGTTAATACCATCTGAGGTCCTCCGAGTATAGTGATTTTGCCACGTTTAGTCCTAAACTTTCAAATTGATCATTTGTGGTCCTTCGACTTTCAAATTTAACCATTCATGGTCCAAGTTAACCACCCATGGTCCTTCAAGTTTTGAAATTTAACCAGTCATGGTCCTTTTGAAAGGACCATAGTTGGTTAAAATTTAATAGTTAAAAGACCATAGGTGGTAACTTGGATCACGAATGGTTAAATTTGAAAATCGAAGGACCACAGATGGTCAATTTAAAAGTTTAGGATTATACGTAGCAAAACCACTATACTCGGAGGACCTCAGAGGGTATTAACTCTATATCCTACTATATAATAAAGCCATAAGATCTTGGCCAATCAAATTGCTGCAAATTCCCGCCCAGTGAAAACGCTGCCGTTTTCTTTATGGCTAATTTGTTGCCTATTTTTTCGAATCAATTTTATTATACATATAAATAATAAATACTAACTGCAACAAATAATTGTGTTTGTATTGGAATTGAAAACTAAAGCTATATTTAGAACCCCTTTTGGAGTCCCAATTCACTTGGAATCTGTTCAGCCGTCGATGACTTAAATGCTACTAACAAAGCATATGGTTATATGTAAAAATCTTCATCGAATACATACATATTAGAGATATATTACATATATATTACATATATAAGCTACGGCTATCCATAAATATATATATGAATTCAAATTTTTTGCAGCTTTCCATATGTGTTGTTTCTTCTTCCCAGATATCATCATAATGCATCTGCAAACGTGCGTAAAGGTGGTTTGATCTCAGCCTTCAAAACTTGGCTCTATAAAAACTTGGTACGACATCTTCATTCTCTACCACCATTCTCATTTTGAAGCTACGTTTGATTCACTTTTCTTTCAAATTTGCTGTTTCTGAAAATCTGCCAATGGCTCCACTCTACATTCTAGGTAAAGACCTGAGGATATCTACATACAAAAAGGCAATAAGATTAAGACTGGTTCGAACTTATAATGTACCAGAAGGGAGAAATTCAGAAGCAATCAAAAGCCAAGAATGTTTGTTTCATGACAGTGAGGTAATCTATTTTTTTCCAGTACAACTGAAAATCTTAATTACAAAAATGTTAAACCAAACAATTATTTCTGTCTTTTTAGGGCACATATGTTCATGGGAATATTCCAAAAGATTGTGTCGATCAGTTTTCTAAACTGTTGAAAGAAGGCAAGGTTTATGCTATAAAGGATTTTGCAGTAATCTCACACTACTATCAGTACAAAACCACTGATCACACATACATGATTAGATTCACTCATGAAACTCATGTGGAGAGACATAGGCGAAAGGGATTTCCCAACCTCATGTTTCGGATTAAGTCTTTTTCGGACTTAATGTCTGGTAGTGTGTCTGACAAGCATTTGATTGGTATGATTTATATATTTTCTATTATTTCTTTTCTCTATCTTATATTTACTATGTTTTATTTTTCTAATTTATTCTTTTTTAATGGCCTTATTTTCATTATAGATGTCATTGGAATAGTTGTGGAGTTCTACAGTCCTAAACAACTCACCATAGCTGGTTTTCCTTCCAAACTTCTCGATTTTCTTATTGAAGATGGCCAGTAAGTTTCCTTTCTACTTATTACCTACTTTTTCAGTTGGAAGTATAGTAGTCAATCCTTAATTCCCTATTTAAACATACTGAGATTCTAATAATCCTAATAATATTTCAATAGTTACAGTACTGCTTTTCTGTTATATATAGTAGGATTTAACATGCTCTATTTTAATTTAATAGGCCTTAAGGAGAACATTCATAAATACTGAAAAAAAAAGTAGACATAGAGTATACAACTTATCTTTAACTCTAATGTTTCAATCTTCTGTTCTTCATGATAAGCCATCTTTGAATTTTAGGCTTAGTTCCAGTCCTCTTTTAGATTTTCTCCACTGTAGTAATCAACTAAAAAAAATTAGGATTTAATTAAACCAATAATAAATACTTAAAAAGATTTCAATAATAGACATACAGTATAAAACTTAGCTTGATTCTGCTATGCTCCAATCTTCGGTTCTTCATTACAAGCCCATCTTTGAATGTTTGGCTTAGTTACAGTGCTCTTTTAGCTTTGTTTCACTGTATTAATCAAGTAAAACACATAGTATTTAATTAAAACATTCATAATTACTGAACAAAAAAAAAAAATTAATAGACTTTAGTATATAAAAAACTTATCTGATTTTCTTGATTTTTCACAGGTCAAAGTATGTTCTTGATAATCCAATCTGCTGTTTTCCATATTAGCAATTCAACCTTTTTATTTTTTTGGCCCAACTGTGATTTCTGTACAAAAACAATTACTAATCATACTTCACTTATTTATCAAAGTAAAAAAAAAAAATTAAAAAAACATCTTAGCTTAAAAAACATTTTTCATTACTCAATTCAAACACATACTCTATAAAATGCATAATAAAACAAATAATACACATAAGAGTAAGGTTTTCTGATTTTGAGTAATAATTGTATCTGATTACAGCTTAATTTATCTCAATTTTAGGGGATGTCGTATTAAGTGTACAGTGTGGGATCACCATGTGGATACTGTCATCGATTATTTCAAGAACCATGTTGAAGGTCCTTTGATTATTTTGCTGCAACTTTGTCGAGCAAAACAATTGGACAGTAAGTGCAGTATATATTTTTTTTCATATATACTTTTATTCTTTGTTCTGATTTTAAGTTACCCTTTTCCCATTTTGTAGATGAAGTCAGACTTTCCAGTTCCTACAATGCTACACAAATATGGTTCAATCATGATTGCAAGGAATTTAAGGAGTTCAAAGATAGGTAATGCAACTTCATTTCTTTCACTAATCACCTATCTTAAATAAATTCTTACTAAATTGTAAATCTCTACTTTTATTCAGTTTGAAGGTTGCTCACAGCCCACCAAGAAGCATACAGAGTTTGTCTGTGATGTCTTATGTCAATAGTGCAGAAAATTCTAAGTCTCCAATGGTAGTTACCACTATCAAGGATCTTTATGAAAGAGCAGAGGTACTATTTTACCTAATTTTAGATCTACTCTTTAGTTTAAATCATAACTTAACCATTAACTAAAATTTTTAATCTAACAGGAAGGATACTATTGGGTACCTGCAAGGATTGTGTCCGTTGAGAGTACCAGGAATTGGTATTACCATTCCTGTAGATCGGATGGCTGCTTTAAGAAGCTGAACATGGAGGATGGAAGTCTGCAATGTCAAACATGTCGTGCAAAGTGGCAAGAGGGTACCTTAAGATACAAGCTGGTTGTTAGGGTAGGTGACAAGACAACTGATGCTCCATTCCTCTTATGGGACAAGGAGGGCTGTGAAATAGCTGGGAAGACTGCCTACGATCTCCGGACCAAATACTCAATGGTAAATAAATTTGCAATCAAATTGAAATTTATATATATATATAATCTATACATATATTTGCTACTTAACTCTTGGTTATTTAAAAATATTTTTCCAGGATGGCTCTCCACTACCAACTGGTATGGAAGAGGTTCGTAACAAAGCAATGGTTTTTAAGGTTTCTGCTAAAGCCGATCATTTCAAGAACCGAGCCATGCCTATACCAGTTGTCGGGATAACCTATGATGCCGAATTAGTTCACCATTACTGTCCATCTTTGGTTGATGATCAGGACCACCTATCCATCATGCTTGATGAAGATGACCAAGATGGACAGTCTGAAGTAAGCACTAAACTAATGGTCTTACATTGAACCAAAACAACATTGACTTAAGTATACTTATTTCTTAAACAGGAATCTGAATCTGGAGATGAGGCCAGTAGCCCAAATGTGACTCAAACTAAGAAGCAAAGGACTGCTGAAAATAATCAAGCACTGGAAGTAGCAGAAACTAAAAGAAACCTGATTGATCAATTCTCCTCAACTAAAGATGTTAAGAAATCAAAGCCTGTTGTCGTCAAACTGGAGAAGAATTGAAAGTGAAAGACCTTAATTGCTAACTCTCTGTTTTAAGGGTTTAATGATGGACAATTTTCACTGCATAGTGGTTTAGTTGTATGGATTTGATGTATTTTCTAAACCTATTTTGATAATATGTACTGTGAAGTACATATTATATGTTTTGGATCATTTTAGAACCTAATCATTTGCTTTAAATTTTATGTTTTAAAAATAGTTTAGCTGCTCTTTGTTATTGTTATTTGTGTATTGCCTAACATTTTGCAGGTAAGAAAACACAGATGTCAAGCAGATTTAATGCAAAAGTACAAGATCAAGCAGTCCACAAATCATCTTTCAGTTGTCTATCCATCAGATTAGCATGAGATTTAGATATAGTAATTAAATATGCTAGATCCATACAGTAATGTACTTTGTTGACAATTGTATTACCTCAACTATCACTTTGTACATCACAGACTGTTAGTAGAAATAACATATTATATCTTATAATTATTCAAAGGCTTTCGGTTGTGAATAATGCTACAAATTATAAACAGTTTGCCACTACATTTGGTCATTTTGATCTTTATATTTTTTGAAACTTAGACACTAATCAAATGTACTCACAAATAAAACAATTGCATATACGTATTTTAATACATATTAATTATTAAACTATAAAATACTTTGCTACAAGAAGAAGTAAATCATTTTTTTGTGTTTGGAGCTGGCAACTAAATGAAGTCCTTTACATTTGTAGTCAAATCAAGATTGTAACTGTATATAACAAGTTTACAAAGAAACAAAAACAACAATTTTGAAAGTACAGATTAATTTTTCCCCAATGCCCCATTTCCTAGAGAGAAAGCTATAACTCTACTAGCTAGCTGGCTGCTCCTAAGGCTAGGCTTCCTGGAATTTCTTCCAAGAATCACAGATTTCTTTACTTCTCCCACAATAATTCCAACTGAAAAAAATTTAAGCAGCTACCTCTTTTTGAAAAGGACAAAGTCTTTATTTTCAACACCTTTATTTTGTAATGGCTTTTTTTTCAGCATAGGATACTGAATCTGTTTAAGATTCCAGCAGTCCATGTCTGGAAACATTTAAAAAGTTTACAACTGATTAGACACATCAACAAATTGAACCCGGTTCTACAATGTGATGTATTTTTGATCAATTATCACCCAGTAGTATGTTGAAGAAGGCTAAGGCTGTGGTATTAAACAAAAAAAGTTGTAGACATTTCTTTTAAATTTTTTTGTAATGTTATTCACTTTACCATTACAAATCTGTCTTTTACAGCTTTACACACCAACTAATGATTTTTTTTTGAATCAATTCACTATACTCACTATTTATTTCGGTCCTTTTCCTGTACTTTAAAGCTAGATAATTTGAAACATATGTTGTTAATATATCATTCTGTACTCACTCCTTAGATGCTTACAAAAACTATAACCTAGAATGTTTGGCTTTTAAAGAAAAGATTAAAGAAAATAATAGAACACACTGTTCAATCTCAAGTATTTTCAAATTCATTCACATATGTTTCAAAATATATAATATTACATTTGAAAATGGAAATTTCCAGTAAACGGCAATCGGACAGTATTACAAAAACAGGTACAATCATGACTTCCCTGGTCTTCTTCAATCTTTCTTTCATCTCTTCTGATTCAGTCCTCATTCCAAATCACTAATATTAAACTACAAATTCTACAACATCTTAAGTAATTTCATAAGTGGCATCAGAAAGTAATATCATCATTTGCCAGTTTCTCAAAAAATCATGTTAGAATTGAACTACAATAAAAAAAAAAAATTGAATAACATAGTTCATTTGCGATAAAGCCAAAATCCTAACATATAAATAAAAACAAACAGATTTACAAATGTAGTCAATTAGATGGCAGTTGTAATCAATTTTGAAATCCACAAAATAGACATATACAAATGTAAAATTGAATAACTGATGGACTATGGCTTTTATACTTCCCAATTACAGTAATCATTAGTTTTAACCAAATCCCAATGCTTTGTAATTATACTTTGAAATTAGACATTCTCAGATTCAAATTGATGAGATCACTGGACAAATTTAACATTCACCTAAAATCACCACTTACACAAACACACTATCCAAACATACTCAGTCTAAAACAATGCGGAAATTAACTTCATCAATAATCATCGGCGCAAAAAGGAAGAACACACTATCTAACCAAGGTACTTTAAATAAAATTTCAAACCTGTATTACTTTCATACTCTTATTTGTATTACATCATTGCTTTTGGTGGGAGATTTAGAATCTGCATGCTACTCCATCTTGCTTATATAATTAGATCTATAAGTACAACCTGTTTAATCACAATTAGAGAACAGTTTATTTAGTTCAATGGTAAAAATTAGTATTAGCATAATAATAATAATGAAATTAATAGAATGATTTCGAAATCTTGCAGTTAAGAAACGTTGTAACAGTATTTGATTATAAACTAAGAACTATCATAATGTTTATGCAAATGATAACGTGATATTTATACTCATATAGACAAATAATATATTAAGAACAAAAAAAAAAATCGGCAAAATGTACTTATCTTAAGAAAGGCTGTTTTTTCCTTCTCTTTGGCATGTGAGGACGCCGTTGCTTCTGACAGAATTAAACCCAGTTTAGGCTTAGATTTCCATAAACATAAGAACTCCTTCGACGGAATTTCTACCGCTTTAGGGTTTCAATTTTTGGCTTTTTTCATATGTTTTCTGGGTTTCGAATAACAAGCTAGAAGTAATCAACAAAACTAGCAAGGATATCGGAACTAATTTGGCGAACAATATCTCGGTTTAGGGTTTCGATTAGTCCGATAAAACTTACACGATCAAAGCTTTTCGTGTATAGAGCTTTGAAAATGGGGATTTAGTGAGCTTAAGGTCCCTCATGGCTTCGATTTCCATATCCGGTCGTCGCGATTAGGCAATCGAAACCAAAACGCGAAGAAGACGGATGGAGGATCGGAGACCACAGAGCGAGGATGAGAGGGGATGAGGGAGAGTATGTTTGGGGAGTCGGTCGGCTGGGGTGGGTTTTGATGGGTGGGCCGTAGGGAGTTATGGGCTGGGTAGAGGGTTTAGTAAATGGGTATATATTTAGACTATTGTTATATTGTTATTATTATATAGTAGGATTATATTATATAGTAGGATTTGTTATTATTAGTGTTAGTAGGATTTATTATATACTCGGTTTATTTTATTTAATATTATTTATTATATACTCTATTAATATTATTTATTACTGTCAGTATAGATTCTCTTTTTAAATAAATGAATGATCTTGAAAAAATGTAAATTAAAAGTATAACTTAGTGACATTAATAGTATGTAAAATTGAACATGTATTTAATTTTTTATATTAATATTTAAATTGTTTTATAATTATAAATATGGTTTATATTTTTGTTATATTTGTTTAAAGTAATACATACATTCATATACTTTTGTTTCAATAAGTGGCGTATAAATAATTATATTATTATAAATTGTTTAATTGGTTACAATTTCTGTATTTTTTTTTTTACAGAAAATGATTCGCCGGAAAATGTAACATTGAACACACCCACAACGCCCGTGTTGCCTGGTAAAATGATTTCTCTCGAATTTTTGTGTTTGTGTAATTGTTTTCACATATATCAATTTTTATTAACATCGACCAAATTTATATCGTTTTTTTTTTTTTTTTTTTTTTTTTTTTTTTTTTAGATTCAACTTATTGGTTCTTTAAATTATTACAATCTTTTTGTAGACTATTCAATCCCAGTACAGTCCACAAGCTTTAGATCTCAACTTACATGCATTAATTCAGCAACTCAAAATAAGAAGCGTGTAATTCAGGGACATCGTAATAGGCTTCCACCGCAAAATCTCAACTCTAGCAATGGTATGAGCAATTATAATTCTAAAACGATATAATCTTTTTTGTACTTTTTTAACTTTTTATTTTTGGTTGACTTTCCGTTAGTAATTCTTACCAACAATCATTTCTTTTCAAGTCAAAGTTATACACTTTTAAAATGCATTCATGGTCTTGGTTAACTGTGTATAGTATATTAAATATTTTATATTATATCTCTCTAATATAAGTTATTCTAATAGCTTTGTTGTTTTTATTTTTCATAATAGTTTGCCAAAATTATATTGAACCAAGTACATCGCGATCAACCGTCGTGGAAGTTACACGGCTGGAAGACAAAGAAATTCGAAGGCCTTTAGCAAATTTGACAAATGGTAAATTATATAAAACAATTCAATTCTTTATTATAATTGGAATACAATCAGTTACATTTTGATAATTGAATAATTGAATATTCGTATTTATTTGCATCTTTTAGTTAGTACACCACAGTCATGCGTTGTGGATCAATGCGGGTTGTCGCAAAATATGGAAATGCAACGTCGATTGATTGCAGATTTTGATAACGCGGTCCATGATACTACCTCAAAGTTGACAATTCGTACTGGTGGGTAATATACTATTAATTAGATAAAATATTTGAGTTTCATACTAACACTTACTTTTGGTCTATAGATTATTACGGTGATGTTGGTGATCAAATGTATTCCTGTCAGCACTGTGGAGCTATGTTTTGGTTAGAGGAGCGCGTTAATAAATCAGCCGGTGTTCGGAATCCAAAATATTCACTATGTTGCAGTCATGGAAAGATCAAGTTGGCACCTACATATTGTCCACCTCCTGCAATAGTGCAATTGTTCTTTAACCAAGATCAAAAGAGTTCACATTTCTTGAAAAATATTCGGTCCTTTAACAATATGTTTTGCTTTACTTCCATGGGTGGCAAAATTGACAGAGCAATTAACAATGGTTGTGCACCACCAGTCTTTAGACTACATGGTCAAAATTTTCACTTAATGGGCAGCTTGCTACCAGTACCTGGAGATCGTCCAAAGTTTGCTCAATTGTATATTTATGATACTGAGAATGAGATCAACAATCGTCTAAGTGCACTTGGGTAAGTTACGATCAGACATACATTACTTTAAATGATCATGAGCATGTATTTGCATCAATTCAACTAAATTTATTGATTTTGTTTTTTGTAAACAGGGATGATGATTCTACGACTACATTGCATTGTGAAATTGTTAAAGACATTAAGGATGCATTAGATGAGAATAATGTTTTGGTCAAGAGTTTTCGCATGGCAAAAATGGAGATGGAAAGTAATCCTAGAAGAGATATTAAAATAAAACTCATCGGAAGGAGGAACAAAGATGCAAGGACATAT